CTTAATGCACCAAGCAATTATACTACATTAATAGTTTACTAGGATGCTGCTAAAATGACAGGTACCAGAATATTCTTAGTACTTTTTTTTTTTTTTGGAGACACAGTCTTGCTCTGTTGCCCAGACTGGAGTGCAGTGGCAAGATATCAGCTCACTGCAGCCTCCACCCTGTGGGTTCAAGCGATTCTTCTGCCTCAGCCTCCTGAGTAGCTGGGATTACAGGTGCCCTCCACCATGCCCAGTTAATTTTTGTATTTTTAGTAGAGATGACGTTTCACCACGTTGGCCAGGCTGAACTCCTGACCTCAGGTGATCCGCCCACCTCGGCCTCCCAAAGTGCTGAGATTACAGGTGTGAGCCACTGCCCCGGCTGTATGCTACTTTTTGAAGGAGGTCAAGAATAAAATCCCTCTGGGAATTCCTAGTAATGTATTTCAATTAATTTCTTTCTTTTGGCCGGGCGTGGTGGCTCACGCCTGTAATCCCAGCACTTTGGGAGGCCGAGGTGGGCGGATCACAAGGTCAGGAGATCGAGACCATGGTGAAACCCCGTCTCTACTAAAAATAGAAAAAATTAGCCGGGCGCAGGGGCGGGCGCCTGTAGTCCCAGCTACTCGGGAGGCTGAGGCAGGAGAATGGCGTGAACCCGGGAGGCGGAGCTTGCAGTGAGCCGAGATTGCGCCACTGCACTCCAGCCTGGGCGACAGAGCGAGACTCCGTCTCAAAAAAAAAAAAAAATTTCTTTCTTTTGTATCTTGAAAATAAGCATATTGGGATATAGACATATAATGTCCCTTCCCTGTATCCTATCTCTCCCATTTTTTATCTACTTATTTTTTGTAACTTTTATTTTAGGTTCAGGGGTACATGTGCAGGTTGTACAGGTAAACTCGCATCACAAGGGTTTGTTGTACAGATTATTTAGTCACCCAGGTACTAAGCCTAGCATCCAATGGGTTACTTTTTTCTAATCCTCTCCCTCTTCCTACCCACCACAAGTGTTGTTTTTCCTCTTTGCATCCATGTGTTCTCATCATTTAGCTCCCACTTACAAGTGAGAACAGGCTGGACACGGTGGCTCACTCCTGTAATCCCAGCACTTTGGGAGGCCAAGGCAGGCTGAGGTCAGGAGTTCGAGACCAGGCTGGCCAACATGGTGAAACCTCGTCTCTACTAAAAATACAAAAAATTAGCTGGGCGTGGTGGTGCATGCCTGTAATTCCAGCTACTTGGGAGGCTGAGGCAAGAGAATCCCTCGAACCGTGGAGGCGGAGACTGCAGGGAGCCGAGATCACACCACTGTACTCCAGCCTGGGTGACAGAGTGAGATTCCATCTCAAAAAAAAAAAAAAATATATATATATATATAAAATATATACACACATATATAACATATATACATATATAATATATACATACATATATATAAATATAAAAAAATAAGTGAGAGCATGGTATTTGGTCCTCCCATTTTTAAGTATCTGATCATGAACAAGCTGTGGAGGCAAAATGTTAGTTTAAAATGTAGTAAGTGTGTGGTAACTACTTACCATAATTTACTCCTTACATTCCTAGCAATTTCCTATCTAAATATTAGAATTTTTTTTCTGAATTAAGTTTTTTCATTTTGTAGAGATGTTTCATTATGTTGTGTCAGCTGGTCTCAAACTCCTGGCCCTGAGTGATCCTCCTACCTCAGCCTGGAACATTTTTATTAATTCAAGCTTTTGCTGTTATCTGTCACGTACATGTTTCTGAACTACTAGCTTCACCTCACATCACAAAGAAATAAACCATAGACTGAGAAAAACAACATTCTCATCCAAAACACCACGAATAACAGAGGATTAAGGGGTAAAAAATTCCAAGAATTGTATGCAATTTATATAAAATAGAACAGACTCATGGTAACTCATCTTTATTGGTATGACCATGTGATTTAGTTGTATTCAAAGCAACATACGGTATTTCCCTGCAACAAAGAATTAACATAGTTAAACTGGGCTCTCTTTTAGAATGAAATGAGGAAGAAAACCAGGATGTGGTTATGGATACCACTCTCTCGGTGAAATGAGGAAGTAGCAACATTATATTTGCATTTTATGATCCCAAGCAACCACTTTCCCTCACCTCTTTCCAGTTTAACACTTAATTTGCCTCCCTCCTTCGCCATACCTAATCCAGCATTAGAAAACAAACATGATCTGTCACAGGAAAGGAATGACATTCCCTTTCCCTCTACGAGCTGAATTTTTGTAAGAAAATGGCAGAAGCTGGCTGTTTTAACTGCTAATGTTATCTACTGGGAATATTCTATTGAAATGAATTTGAATAATTTAATACAATCCTCTCCATAACCTGCAGAGGCAAATGCTCTCCTCAGCACCCCCACATTTCCTTGTATTACTTCCTCCAAGAACTGTTTCCTGATTAACCCTATGCTACTCAGATATTTTTTTGTTCTATATCTTCATATAATCTAAGCATTATTTACTTGTATAATGGTTTTGCAAAGGCCCATAACTTTAAAATGTTTGTTTCCTCAACAAAATTAGAAACTACTTAAGAATGAAATCTGTGCGTTCTAATTCTTTCACACAAAGGATACACAGGCAGCTCCCAACACTTAAACCACCAATTTACTTTCTGTAAACATGAAACAAGTTCCAAAGATAATGTACTCACAAACAAAGTAATTCAGATGCATCTTGTTGGTTTCATTCATTCATCACACTTTGAGCACCAGCTGTGCAAGCTCTATGGACAATCCCCTGATCAAAAATTGCCCTTGGGGTCATGGTGGCTCACTCCTGTAATCCCAACACTTCGGGAGGCCAAGGCAGGAGGATCCCTTGAGTACAGGAGTTTGAGACCAGCCTGGGCAACATGGCGAGAGCTGTCTCCATTTAAAAACAAAACACAAAAAAACTACTCCTCATTGCCTACCAAACTTCTTACTTTGATTTTCAAAACACAATTTCTCTTCTATCTGCATTCTAGATTCTCCCAAACATTCTTCATGCCTTTGCCTATCCCCTCATCCAGGAATGTGCTGTCTGCACCACAATCAGCACTTGCCTCACCACCAGCTAGCTATACATGTCAATTATTAAGTTTCGACTATGCATCTACACTAGGAGAGGTCCTTGCAGATGGAGTTTTTAGTTTGAATATATAAATAAAACTTGAGCTACCATCGGTCGTAACTGCCATCAACTCAATCTAGTAGGAGGATATAGGCCTGTGAACAAGTAACTGTAATACTACACAACCTAGGAAGGGTATGGTAAGCTGTCACTGAGGGCTATACAAAATCAACGTACTGTAGATGCACTCTGGGTGGACAAGCTCAGGGGTAGAAGGGGGATCAAAAAGTGTTAAAAATGTGGGCTGGGAACAGTGGCTCCCATCTGTAATCTCAACACTTTGGGAGGCCGAGGCGGGTGGATCGTTTGAGGTCCGGAGTTCGAGACCAGCCTGGCCAACATGGTGAAACCCCGTTTCTACCAAAAATACAAAAATTATCTGGGGAGTGGTAGCACATGCCTGTAATTCCTGCTACTTGGGAGGCTGAGGCATAAGAATTGCTTGGACCCAGGAGGCAGAGGGTGCAGTGAGCCGAGATCACACCACTATACTCCAGCCTGGGCGACAGAGCAAGACTCTTGTCTAAAAAATAACAATATTAAAATAAAATTTAAAATGTTAAAAATGTGTTTGGGTTTTAAAAGATAAAAATTAGTTAGGGCCACTGGACCAATTTCTGAATGCAGGGCTTTGCCTGCATTAGGTATTCAAAAAACTTATTTACCTTGTTTGTAAATTAACTTGCAGGGCAATGAGTAGGATGGCCAACTTGTGCTGGGGCTCAGATGGAGTACAAGATGGTTGAGATGAAAGGAAGAATGCCTAGTCTTGAGTTCTCCCAGGAGCTACTTTTGAATCCATATTTTTGTCTTCCTAGTAACTGACAATGTTTTCTTGATGCACTCTTCCCATTTCCACATGACCACTATCCATTACCTGAATAACTGTTTCTTCTACAATCAATGTTCACTGGCTCATCTCAGCGGTGACTGTGCTCACCCCACACCTGCCTCTTTTCCTCAGACACACAGGGACCACAAAAAAACTATAATGTCTTAAATCCTTCTCTAATCCGGTACGTTCCCCTGGGCTAAAAGACAACCTTTTGCCATGGGGGACATGCCAACAACACAGAGGTTTTATTTTTAGTAAAATCAGGCATCGTTAACCCTCATTTTATTTATTTATGGAGATTAAGTAACACAACAATAATGTATAAAACTCCAGAAGTGAACTTCAAGTCAATAACAAGTTAAAAAAACAAAAAACCCTTCAGAGGTACAAAGGAACATGCAGAGAAAAAATGAAGTGAATGAAGCCCTTTTCACCAGAGACAACCATGCTCATAGGTTTACCATTCCTAAAATAAGAGTGTTTTTTACTGTAAATAGAATTGGTTGGCCATATTCTGTATTACAGCTTGTTTGTCTGGGGAGAGGAGTTGATGTGTGAATCACCCAACTATGTATAATGTATCTATGAGAAAACACATTATTAATTCCAAATCATACAACCTTTTCAGAAAATTGTAAACACAACCTGGGATTCAGCACAGGGGTACGAATAGAAAGAGCATGGCTTTTTCACTTCACAGTCCTCTGTCCACACAGCAGCTCTGACACCAGGCATCTTAGGAAATATTATTTAACTTGTGACTTTTTGATTTCTAATCCATAAAATAGGGATACTGCTGCCTACCTCCTTAGGTTCTTCTTGATTAAACACATGTTGAATGCTTTCATATCTTTAACCTTGTTTTCAGCTTTCTTTGTAGAATGTTTTCATTTAACTACATCTGGAATATTTTAATTTTTATGTGTACCCAAATTTCCAAGAAAAAACTTTTGTGCAAAAATACTAAGATTTCTATAAAAGGTTTTCATTTACAGAATCAAAAACTCCCTAATAATTACCTTTTGTTCTTCTCTTTCTGTTGCATGGTGACACTTCTCAATTCTCCAATGCCTCAAGAAATCTCGAAGGTATCCAAAGAGGGTGAGTACGCCATACCCCACATATGTGAGCACAGCAACCAGCATTGGTGTTTCTTCAAAAGCTTCATTAAACGGTCTTTTATATAGTCCTCCATTTTGTGTAACATGATGGATCTAAAAGAGAGGTTAAATATGTTTATTTCCATCATGGTAAGAAAAACATTCCTACCTAAAATCTAGGTCCTCAGAGATTTGCTGAATTATACCTTAAGAATTTTCTTTTCTTTTTTTTTTTTTTTTTTGAGACGGAGTCTCCCTCTGTCGCCCAGGCTGGAGTGCAGTAGCCGGATCTCAGCTCACTGCAAGCTCCACCTCCCGGGTTTACGCCATTCTCCTGCCTCAGCCTCCCGAGTTGCTGGGACTACAGGCGCCTGCCACCTCGCCCGGCTAGTTTTTTGTATTTTTTAGTAGAGACAGGGTTTCACCGTGTTACCCAGGATGGTCTCGATCTCCTAACCTCGTGATCTGCCCGTCTCAGCCTCCCAAAGTGCTGGGATTACAGGCTTGAGCCACCGCGCCCGGCCACCTTAAGAATTTTCTAAGTTCCACCGGGCACAGTGGCTCACACCTGTAATCCCAGGACTTTGGGAGGCTGAGGCAGGCAGATCACTTGAGGTCAGGAGTTCAAGACCAACCTGGCCAACATGGTGAAACCCTGTCTCTACTGAAAATACAAATATTAGCCAGGATTGGTGGCACACACCTGTAATCCCAGCTACTTGGGAGACTGAGGCAGGAGAGTTGCTTGAACTTGGGAGGTGGAGGTTGCAATAGGCCAAGATCATACCACTACACTCCTGCATGGGCGACAAAGCAAGACTCCACGTCAAAAAAAAAAAAAAGAATTTTCTAAGTTCCAACCTCACTGGAAACAAGGAAAAAAAAAAGAATTTTAGGCCAGGCACAGTGGCTCACACCTATAATCCCAGTACTTTGGGAGGCCAAGGCGGGAGGATCACCTGAGGTTGGGAGTTCAAGACCAGCCTGACCAACATGGAGAAACCCCATCTCTACTAAAAATACTAAACTAGGCGGGTGTGGTGGCGCATGCCTGTAATCTCAGCTATTCAGGAGGCTGAGGCAGGAGAATTGCTTGAACCTGAGAGACGGAGAGATCTCGATGAGCCGAGATCACGCCATCGCACTCCAGCCTGGGAAACAAGAGCAACACTCCATCTCAAAAAAAAATTAAAAAAAAAAAAAAAAAAGAATTTTGTAAGTGATAGTCAAATGTAACACTAAGAGGTGATCCCAAAGAAAGCGCTACTTGTTTTCTTTTGGATCAAGGCCAGGATGGTCTCGATCTCCTGACCTTGTGATCTGCCCGCCTCGGCCTTCCAAAGTACTGGGATTACAGGCGTGAGCCACCGAGCCCGGCTGGGCTACTTGTTTTCAATAGAAATAATTTATAAATTATATGCATTTCAGATGAACAGTAAAGGAAGGGGAGCAAGAAGGGCTGTGTAAGAACACCACCTAATACTAATCTTTACCATTATTTGATTTTCTTAAATAGATCCTAAAATGCTAGCGTAATTTCTTTTGTTCTAATAAAAAAAGCAAAAAACGTAAATCAACAAGAGAAAGCCTATCCCAAGAAAAGTACTATATTAGCTTACAGACGAAGAGATCAAAAGTTCAAAAGTAAATTCAGCTTTAGAATGTAAAATATTTGTAAATGTTTTACTACCACACATTCTCAAAGCCACCCAGCCATAGTATTCCAAATAATTATCAGCAGTAGGCCCCTGTAGAAACACGTAGTTCAAATTAACCTTTGTCGGTAGTGATAACACAAGTAAATCATGCAAAAAACTAAGATGTTATATTACATAAGTGTGGTCTAGGCTGGGTGCACTGGCGCATGCCTGTAATCCTAGCACTTTGGGAGGCCAAGGTGGGCAGATCACCTGAGCCCAGGAGTTTGAGACCAGCCTGGGCACATGGTAAAATCCTGTCTCTACAAAAAAAAAAAAAAAAAAAAAAACTAGTTGGACATGGTGGCACATGCCTGTAGTCCCACCTCCTCAGGAGACAGGTGGGAGGATCACCTGAACCCAGAAGGTCGAGGCGGCAGTAAGCCATGATCGTGCCACTTCCCTGCAGCCTGAGTGACAGAGTGAGACCCTGTCTCAAAAAAAAAAAACAAAAACAAAGTGTGGTCCAGCATTATATAAAAGTAAAAGGAAAGTGAAACCCAAAACAAGGGGAAAAACTATTAGTAACCGTCGTGAATTCTTCTGTCCCCCTTCATCTTAAGTATTCATTCCCAAAAATTGTGAGATTATCCCTTGTTTTAACTTTTGGGACACTTGGACTTTAATATACAAAAACCAAGCTACTTTACTTTTGATCTCATAGATGATAACATTTTGCTTCTTGGTCAATTTTAATGGAAATCTTGCTTTATAGAAGAAATCTGCTAGACAAGTTTGTGTGTTGACTTTAATCTTAACTTTGGAACAACTGCAGTGAGGATGGTTAATCAAAATTTACCGGAGGCATATTGTCAATTAAGCATCATGAAAAGTCCCAAAGAACTAAAAGATCCTTTCTTGCCCTCTCAGGCAATCTGATCAGAGATATGATATAAACAAATAAAAACAAATTAATGAAATTTACATAACTATACAATCAATTGTTATACATATCCAAGGGGTAAAGATATTTTAGAGTATCCTATCCTGGTAATGTTAGTTTTGGAAAGCTGCTTCAGTGTTACAAATTGGAACAGTTTGGAAAGACACAGTTGTATGTGACAAAGGACAGGCACTCAGATAGGCACAGCAGATGGATGGAATCTGTTGGTACTGGTTCAACTTGATGATCTAAATAACTTCTGAAAACTATTCACAAACTTATTTAGGTCTTCATCAATCTCTTCCACACAGGAGAAAGTTTGGTGTCAATATTTAATACTTAAACATTTATGTGGGAGTAAGGTTGTAATGTGTTTAGAACAGAATAGCTAAAATTGAGCCAGTATCTGAAGACAGAAAATTGTTTAAAAATTAACAACATAACAATATAAAAAAGTTATTAAGCCAGACAAAGCAAAATGAAAAGCAATTTAAAAGACAAAAAAAATTAACATTCTGATCATCTCTTTAAAAACTGTATCTGAAAATATTTTGCCTTAAGAACTCTGTTTAATACCAGTGCCAAACTCTCCCTAACTATGAAATTATTTAAACTATTTACTCTCAACTGTACACATCATTAAAAGCCTGGAAATCACAGAGCCCCCCTGCAGTCTCTAACCAACGTGCAGCGAGTTTACAGGTCAGGAATGCTGTGGGTGGGTCTCTGAAAGATATTCGCCTTAATTTCAGGCACACTCACACGGGCAGGATCAAGTCAATTCATACCGTAGGCTGGACTCTCTAGGGAGGAGGATGCTAAACCATTATGAAGAACGGTGTGATTTTACCAAAGCCTTATTCAAAATTAAATGTATTTTAAAGAATTAAGGTTCAACTAGGAAGTGGGTGGGGTTTCTTTTTTTCCACCTTTAGAACCTGTGAAAAGAAGTGACTCTGGAATGTGGTTTCAGTCAAAACAGAGTGACTGATGTTGGGGGAGGGGGGGTGGGGGGCGCAGATGGGCACGCCAACTGACACACGGGTCTCTCAAAGGTGAAAAGTCTTTAAACTCTGAGAGAATAAAATCACTTCACCTTTAAGAACTGATGCTAAATCGTATCTTTCACATGATTCAAACAATAATAATGGTATTGCTCTCTTATACATAGGTAATAATCCTTGAGGAAAAACACCAGGTCTGTTTTGCTCATCATTGCACATCTAGCACCCGGGGTAGTATTTATGAAGTCTTAATAAATAGTTAACACTTAATAACATTTCGTATCAGTCTGTTCACAGTCTGCTCACGTTAAGCAAAGAAGAATGTGACACTATCTTAGCACTATTAATCAAGGAAAGATTTAGGAATATCAAGAAATCTTTGCTTGAACGGTAATATTACTGTTGAAGAAAATACAAACGCAAAGGAAGAAATTTTTTTCAGACAAGACTACAAGCACACCACCGTAAAACACCTTACAATGAGCCATTTTGTCCACATGCCTGTGGGCTGTCAACTATGTTTATTAAGCAGCTGAAAAGGTACTCCTAACCAAAGCAATAATGGGAAGTATAATAAAAGATAAGCCATATGCGTAATACATATATTTCCATGTGACTAAAATTGTCTGGAAGGAGACACCAGAAACTAGGGTAAGGAGTGGGGTGGGAAAAGAAAGCATATTTTTTGTTCATAACCTTCTAAACTGGTTTGATTTTTCTTCTTCTTGTTTTTTACGAGTATGTATTACTGAATTTTTACTTGCCTTTTTTTTTAATGCTTAAACTAAATTTTGTCATTGACTTAATTCACCATTTGGACTAAAACAGAGTTAATAAAAGCAAAACATGCCTATTATCACAACCTCAGTCACCTCACTATCGATAGCCTCTCTAGTGAATTCTCATCTACTTATGAGTTCTCAGCTAGACCTTCCATGCTACGAGTAAGCTCAAGCCTACACTGCAATCCCAGATTCCTTTCCAGAACTCCACACTCACATTTCTACCTGCCTCCTATATAGCTCCACTTAGACTTCATGGGCACCTCAAACTCAACAAATCTAAAGCTGAACTTCTCACCATCCTAACCCTCCCTCTCAGTGAAAACCTGACACTCCTCTTCTATTACCTATTTTGGTCAACAGCATCACTATCCAGTCTACCCAGTCTCCCAAGTTTGGAGTCATCTTTGGCTCCACCTTATTTTCTGGCTTCCAGATAGAATTAGTAATGACTTTCTGTGCTTCAGTCCAAGAGCTTCTTGTGGGGCACAAGAGAATTTTAAGGAGGTAGAAAGTTGTTTTTTTGTTTTTGTTTTTGACAGCATCTGACTCTGCCACCCAGGACGGAGTGCAGTGGTGCAATCATGGCTCACTGCAGCCTCTACCTTTCAGGCTTAAGTGATCCTCCAGCCTCAGCCTCCCAGGAAGTTGGGACCACAGGCAAGTGGCACCATGCCCAGCTTATTTATTTACTTATTTATTGTAGAGATGGGGCTTCACTACATTGCCCAGGCTGGTATCAAACTCC